GTGTGTGTGTGTGTGTGTGTGTGTGTGTGTGTGTGTGTAGTGTGAAAGTAGGTGGTTTCTGCAGTCAGAGAAATAAACTGCACACAGCTTCAGTGTTCGGGTTTTTACCCTGAAGTTTTGGAGCAAATCTCAAACCCAGTTACATGTCGGCCTCTGACTGGTTTTGAGAGCCACACTTCGTGTCTGTTGGTTTTTGTGCTCTAAAGCCGTCGTTCCTTGAAAATATGTTGAAGAAATTTATTTCAGCCCGATTCTAAAGAGAATAGTCTCAAAACCAGGATTATAATGGACTATGTTCTATTTAAACCTGCTGCAGATATTATGAGCCTTCAGACCCCCCCCCCCCCCCACACACACACACACACGTTTCCCCCTTCGTGTTGTGTCATGAAAATCAAGCCCTAAGAAAATAAATTTGCGATTTAAAAATATATATATTGTGTTTCCTTTTCGACAAACTGGATGACATTAAAATAGACTCATTTTGCTTCAATTCCTACTTTAGAAATTCATTTATTTAATCAGTTTTATTTAGCCAGACAAATCACAGATGTCTGCTTCGAGGCCTGGAGGCAGCCTATATGTTTAGAACTGTGGGAGGACATTCAGCTTAACTCCACACAAACAGAGCAGGACCAGTACTAACCAATCTGTGCTCTGTGTCTTTAACATAGGTTTTATAAATCACAGAAGCCATACATAGTTCTTGTTTTTGATTTCTGTAAAATGTATCCCAGCGTTTAATAAAAATAAGTTGGTGGAAATCCAGTGGTTTTTTTTTTTTGTGTGAGCTTATCTTTTTAACTGAATCCTTTCATTAAAGACAGATTGAACTGTCCATCCCTCTACTTCATATCTTACTTCTTTTCTTTAATTATGTAAAATGAATGAAATTATAGCTGGTTTTCAATAAAATCTTCGATAACTGCGAGAAGATAAAATGTTGATCCATCCACAGTTTTCTTTGAGGACGATGGTGGTCCCTACACATACATATGTATGTATGTATGTATGTATGTATGTATGTATGTATGTATGTATGTATGTATGTATGTATGTATGTA